CGACCAACATTTTATAAATTAAGTGCTACATTCTACCAGCACCAACACCATTTCTCTGAATGGGCAAAACATACACAGGTCAGGTTGCTCCAGTGCATTTTAGCCTTGAAGAATAGGCTATCCTGGGTGGGCCAGTGGGTGGGAGTGAAATGACAATGACTTTAGTATTGTGTTAAGTTCAGAGTAAACCTTTCTTATAAAGGGAAAATAAAATACAAAACTAAAGTATAACTACGATCTCTTAGTCGTAACTGTATGAACTTCCCACATGGAACTCCTTACTAAGTTCTCAGCTTTTATCCTGTTCCCCCTATGCAACAACAGCCATGTGTTTTACTCTGCATGATCACACCCACATCTTCACCAGAATTTAAATCCCCTTAACAAGAACATTTGAAGGAGGCATAATGGCAAATCTCCTCTACCCCCCACATGGAAATGGTTTTAGACTCAAGATACATTCCAGGAGTCTGAGAAAATGTTGATAATAAGAAATAGTGGAAGGGGGTGTCTTGCTAATTCATCATTTTTTTTTTCAAAAAGTCCAAATATGTTGGACTGGCACATGCGTTTAATTTTCCATTAGTACCTGATTTAAGGAAAATAGACTTCAAGGAGAAAATGAAGCCTGGGTGGACTTCAGTGCCTGGAATAGGAGGGATCAGTTTAAACTTTCAAGCATCTTTTGGCAGGTGTATGAGTTGTAGTTAAAGCACCAGGCTAGAAAACAGGAGATGGTGACTTCCAGTCCTGCCTTAGGCATGAAAGCTGGTTGGGTGACTTTGGGCCGGCCAGTCCCTCTCTCTCAGCCCAACTCACCTGACCGGGTTGTTGTTGTAGGGAAAATAGGAGGAGGAAGGAGTCTTAGGTACATTCGCTGCCTTGAGTTATTTATAAAAATAATAAAGGCGGGATAAAAAAAATCTAAAAACAAAGTCGTGTCTGCTAGAAAAATGTGTGTTATAACGTGCACTGTTTTTTGCAGATTTTTTTTCAAAAGAGAAACCTTCATACTGATGTAGAAATAGAATGTAAGAGTGGAACAGTGAGAAACTGAAAGAGATCAGACTTGACAAATGTATCCCTCCACCTCAGGTTGAGCAGATGGATAGCAAGTGTGTGCACAGATAATACTAGAACCAATCTTCCTTGCCAGAATTCCTGCAGGAGCATCTCTTACATCACAGACATTTTTGTTCCAGATTCAGACTGATTCATATTCTCTTTTGGCCTTCCAATGGTAATTTTGTTTTTAGCCCAGTGGGACGTGATATAAATTCCAATGATTTGGAACAGTTATGATCAGGATCCCATTATCCATCCTCACATATCTATCTGCAGGAGGTGCAACTACCTCCACGAGATCAACAGTCAGTGAATATCTTTAGTAAATATGCAACCACTTATCCCTGTTTCTCTTCTACTTTCACAGTATGATGACAAGCCTTATTGCACCCATTGCTATCTTCAGCGTTTTGGACCAAGAGGTAAACTTATGTTCTGGGAACCAGTTGCATGTAATAGAGAAGGAACGCTGGAGGGCAGGGGAAGAAGTGTTTTAGGTCCAAGCTAAATAGCACTGACTGACCACAAACCAATAGTAGGGGGTGAATAGAGATTTCAAGATTTCCTCTGTGTCCCCTCTTTGTCAGTTACTTTGCTTGCTCTTTGGCTAGCAGGTTGCTAATCTCAGGTTCCTTCCTTCTGCTTTTGTTCCCAGGCATCAATGCACAGGGTGTACGCTCTTAAGACTTTCTTCTTGGCAGGATGTAGCTAGCTAGGTGCTGGGCCTTTCCCATCCTTATAATGTATTTCCTGTAAATATGTCTCCTTCTGTTATAGTTATAAAACATGCTTCCGTTATCATTGCTCAGGTCAAATAACCATTATCTGAAATGTTCACACGCATACACGCTAAGTTTCAACCTCCAGCAAGAAGGACAGAGAAAACGTTGTTGCTGAATGTTCAAAGTTGATTGACAGCTAGCTTCTGGCAGCAGTTGTTGCAAACAGGAGGCTTATATGTGCATCAAAAGGGCTTTGCTTCATGTTTGCAACTTTTACCATCGCAAACCAAAATAGCCACTTCTCTTGCTTGGTTTTTCTCAGAACTGCTCTCTTAGTTAAAATGACCTGGAAACTACTTGGATTCCCAAGTAGTTATCATCCCTAAAGCCTTTATATTTATCCTGGCAGCATTAAGAAAGGACCCTAGTACAGAATCTTCTTTGCAATCCTAGAGTTCCTGATCGTGAAGTAGAGCCTTACTCACCCACAACTGTACATATGTAAGTCCATTTTTCACTGATCTCAAATGTGCAAGTGTGGGAGGCATGGAGACAGGTGTGATCATGCTCCCCCTCTCAAGGGGTCTCTGCTGAACAAGTTCAGGAGGCAACGTATTCTCCATGTCCATGTTCCATTAAATTGCGGCATGCATCTTTTGAACCTTTCAAGCTGGGCGGCCAGCCCTTATGCATGATAACTAATCAGGGTAAATATGAGTATGAAGTTAACTCAATGCTCAAGAGATGCATTGTTTGGATTGCCTTATAGAAGTTATTGGAGGGCAAGTCAGGAATGGTGTCATCTGATTCAAGTGACTGGATTACTTGTCCCCACTGTTGGGTGGAAAGACAACTAATCTGCAGTTCACCATTCGGCATCATTAGTCCAAACTATACTGATTTCATGGAACTTTACTTTAAAGGTCTACAGCATCTGAGTAGCTCTAATCCTTTCACTTCAGCAACAATTCTTCTCATAAAAATGAAAACTAAAAAGCCACCGAAGCTAGGAAAAATCAGTCCTATCCCTACTTCAGCATGGTCCAATGCCATCCTTCTTTTTGTACATAGAAGCTGGGGTGGAAAGGGATCTGCCACTTACTCAGCAAGCTCTTTCCAAACTCCAGATATGTAGAACACAATGTGCTAGTCTCCAATTATGCTGGTGGGCAACCCCAGTACTCACTCTCTCCTTCCGCTGCTTAGGATCCATTTTTTTGAAGAAAAATATCTTAATCCCAACAGTCCAACAAATTAGTAGCTGCAAAAAGAGCATATTTGAAACAACGACATACCCTTTTCAAAACATATTCTTAGCTTCTTCCAGAGAGTAGAATGTGGCATTTGATCAATTTGATCAATCTTGTCCCAATTTAGGAGAATAAGGGATTTACATTCAACTTTCCTAGATTCCTAGGAAATCATTCCAGTTTATGCCCTTAAGTACAAGATCAAAGTTTGTTTACTATAATTTTTCCAAATCTGTTTTAGATTGTAAATCCACTAAAGAAGCAGTCTCTCAGCTTGTTCTTGGTAAAAGCACAGCTAAAAGCTCAACGATGCTTCAACATAAATCTATCAGAAATATCCACAATTCATTTTTATGCTAGTGGAAGGCCTCTCCAGAGATTCTGAAGTTAGTCTAATCATTCTATTTAACTGTTTTGTTCCTTCCTTTGCTCCCACCCTTGTTGCTATTTAACAATTCTTAATTATTTAAGGAAAATGTGACTACTTTCTGCTTTCTAAAGTTTTCTGTCCTCTCCTTTTGCCTTTTCTTGTCATACTGTCTTCTAGATGCTTAACTTTGTTTCTCTTAACGTTATTTTTGTATAGCACCTATCAACTATAACACATTTCCAATGAGCACTAGGATCAAGTCACGCAGAAAGCAAGAATAGCCACTAGGTTACCGATAGTGTTATGGCCAAAACCTGGATCACCTAAAGCAACCAAATCACTCTGAAGATACAACATAATTTTATTTGGATGCATACAAGCAATCATACAGAATACTGGACCTCCACTAAAGCTTTGATACTTTGCTGAGCGGCCATGAGCAAAAGTAGAACCAGGGCTTATATACCCTTGGCCCACTCCATTGCAAAGACAAAGCAAAGAAAAAGGCCGTCACAGTAGAAATTACAGCATGATGGTGGAATATTTTAGATACATCCATCCATGTGACTTTATTATTATTTATCCCTTCCTTCTAGGTCAGCATGCTAGCCATACTATCTCTGAGATATGGTCAGAGAATACAAACAATCTGATTTACTGGGCCACAGGTTCCTGACTAAGTCTTCTCCCTGTCACCACTCAGGGTCAATTCAGCTTGCTGTGAATGTTTTCTTACAAGGGCCCTTTAAGCAGTTCATATATATTGT